TTCTACTAATTTACTGATTATTTAAATCAATTCATTTCGCATTCAATAATTCTGTCATATTTAATACTAAAATATGAAAAATATGAAATTAAAGGATACAGGTTTAAATGAACATATTTTTGAATGTAATTGAGATATTGGCTTGAAAATTTTTGTAAAGAATCGAGAATTTCCATATCTAACTATAGCTATCTGCGACCCTATTAAAATTTTGATATAAATCATAGTTTTAGAAATTAAACAAATATGTAATATAAGACAAAATCTTTATTTATGAACAAAACTCAATGAAATTTTCAACGCTTGTTAAACTTGTCATTTCAAATAAGAAAATGCAAAAAAAAAATTGAAAAGGTCAAAGGGCATCCCGCAATTCCCAAAAATAGGAGTGAAAATCCCAAAAATGGGATTTTTTACTTTTTTGCCCATAGGGTCCTCATTTCTTTCAGGGCTGGGAAAATACTTTTGGAGTAAATAGAAAACATATTGAGGTTTCCAAAACTGCTTTCCGTTTTCTGATCCCAGCTTTGGGATTTTAGAACATGTCGCCCAAAGTTAAAGTTTTGATAAAAAATAGGTCATATTCGGAAGGATGCAGTGGCAACATTTTCAAAAAATAGGACAAGTTTTTTACGCTAAAGAGTTCTGCGTAAAGATACCTTTTAGAAACTATAAAACTATAAAATTGTTATATGTTCTTAAAGAAAATTTTATTTTGTTAATAAAAGAGTTAAGACACATTTTTGGTAAAAAACGGCAAAAATCTAAAATTTTTTTAATTTTTAATTTAAAAAACGTATATTTTTGGATCTGTAAATGATATTGATCTGAAATTTTTTGCATGTTATTGGAAATTTTGTTGTCTAACTAACAAGAAAAAATTGGTCCAAAATTACGCCCGGTATTCAAAAAAAGGCGGACCAAGGTATGGTAAATTTTGTATCACTAAATTTTTAAATGCCTATAACTCTGATATTATAAGAGATAAGTAGTATGTCCAAGCATGTTTTTTCAAGATCTCGTCGAGCGCTTTCAGAAAATATAAAAATCTTTGTATTTGGGTGAAAAATGGCACGAGTTTAAAAATTTTACATGTCGTAGGTACCCTAGGGCATCTGCAGGGTTCATCTTCAAAACTTAAACTCGAATGCTCCTTGGCTACGCTCACGCCAAATTTTATCCCGATCGGATCAGCCGTTTAGAAATGTCAGATTTATTTCCAAAAAATTTCCATTCTGCCCCACCGTGCACTCTTATGCACTTTTTATCAGAAAGGGAATGCAAAATTAAAGAAAACAAACTAACCTGTGTATTTTGTTGTTGATGAAATATGAATTCAGGATTGATGAAACAATTTGTTGGTAGAAAATCCACAACAACTGAGAGAAATCCCAGAGAATTTTATGCTTTTCCAATGTAAATCCGGTTCGACTGGACCAAATGTTTGGGTGAATCTCTTAAGGAAGAGGGAATGCTGGACAAATTGTAAGAGATGCTGTACTCTCTGAGCCGAAACAAAATCTTATAGATTTTGTAATCAGTACAATTTAATAAATGGAAGAAAAGGAAAAAGAACAAAACAATAGAATTAGGATTTTTTTCTATGGATATTTATTAAACCGTAGGACAAAGGATTTCTTACCAAGGATAGGTGGACTGTATAGTTTGGATTTAGATTTTGATCTGGCGCAAATAAGCATTTATAGCTGGAGGTCCACACCACGCGTTCTACGCTTCTTCGCATTCTACGCGGCTGTCAAAAAAGTTGAATCAATGTTGTTGTGTGCTAGAAGTTACAAGCACAAAAGCGTAGGATGCCTTGACGCGTAGAATGCTTAAAGTAGATCTACTTTCTACTTTTGTAAGCGTCATAAGCGGCGCACGAGTATGTCAGCTGATTTTGACAATTTATATTCTATTTTTAATGTGTATTTATCAATTTTAATAACTAAAACGAGTTAAATTGTGAAAATATAAACAAAAAACATAAAAAAAAAACGCGAAGTTCTTTGTAAATAAAGCAAAAATTTGACGCTTAAGAAGCATAGCATGTAACTTGATGCGTAGGATGCAAAGAATGTATGAAAAGCACGAAATGCTTTGCCGCGAAGACGCGTAGTGTGGACCTCCAGCTTATGACATTTACGAACTATGACATTTCTTTTAAATGCAATCAGCATTTATATATGTAAGAACAAATTAGGGTTTGCAGGAAATATGGAATATTGACGAAAGTAAGGAAAAATTGCTAAATGTTGTTTTTGGCGTAAACACATACAAAACATCTTTATATCGAATATCACTTCCCGACTCTTTCCGCATGAAATTCGGTATGAAGATTTACTTTCCTATAAATGTTTCTTATATAAAATTTCATAACTGTTCACGTATTTTTAAGTCAGCAAAGATCGTTAAAGTAATTTTCTTATGGACCGATCCTCAATACATTTGGTGGAGAGGTTTTAACTGTGTGTCGAATTTCATCGCTTTTCTGCTATTTTTAAGCCAGTAATGATCGTTTAAGTAACTTTTTAAAGGGCACCTTATATGGAGAGTAGGGTCAATTATGGACCGATCCACATAAAGTTTGATAGAGAGTTTTTGGCTTCATTGAAACTTATGTGTGTCACTATACTCGTATTTTTAAGCCAGTAATGAGCGTTAAAGTCATTTTCTGAAGGGGACCTTACATGGGGGGTAGGGTCAATTATGAACCGATCAACATAAAATTTGGTAGAGAGGTTTTGGATCATAAGAGACTTACTTATGTCAAATTTCATTGTTAAAGTAATTTTCTTGAGAGGCCTTATATGGGGGGTTGGGTCAATTAAGGACCGATCCTCATAAAATTTGGTAGGGAGATTTTGGATTATATGAAACTTATTTATGTCGATTTTCATCGCTAAACTTGTACTTTTGAAACATATATACCCATTAAAGCTGATTTTCGGGGGTCCGCTTGTATGGGGGCTATCCGAAAACGTGGACCGACATTGCCCATTTTCAATACCAAACAAACCTTACCTATGTGGAAAATTTCAATCCTCTAGCTCGTTCCGTTCGGACTCTATCGTGCTTTCAACAGACAGACGGACAGACATGGCTAGATCGTCTTAGAATTTAATAAGGATTTAATAAGGACCCAGAATAATATATATAGTCATTTCCACAAGTAAGAAAGTCCTAAAAGCAACATAATAGACAAAAACCACAGGGTGCACATATATATTAAAAAAAAAAAATTTTCGAATATAACAAACTTTTCGAAAGAAATTTTGAAAATTTGAACATTACATTATATTGTTATCTGATGCATACATATATTCCAAATTTCAGTATATTTGAGCTACAGGAAGTGGCTTAAAATTCAGTTAAAATTTTCGAAATTTCGATTTTTTGAACATAACATTGCATTGTCTTCAGGTGTCTTTATGTGTACCAAGTTTCAGCCAAATAGGGCTACGGGAACAGGTCGCTACAAAATTTGTAGCAACTAATAATGCAAGTTAAATAAAAGCTTTTAATAAAAAGCCTTAGACTTACTATTTGGATCGATTTTAATTTATTTTATTTTATTTTTTTTTTTCAAATTGTTAAATTTTGAATTCATATTGAATTCAAACTTATAAGGGTAGATTGTTTAAGATTCTACATTGCACAGTGGGGTCTCACTGAACAAAACTTGGCATTAACTAAGCTATAATGTTTTCGTATAAATTATGGGTATCGATGGATAGAGGAAGTCCTCTAGATACGAAGTAAAAAAAAAAGGTTGCACTTAATGCACTTCATGAGATTTACTCTTCTCATCAAGGATTTTTTCCGTACAAATAGATTAGGTCTAATATTCTTGCAAAACTTATTTACAAGAATGTAAAATCAATAAAGCATCCATCAATAACATATAAAGTCATTATTTTACTAGTTTCTACTAATTTACTGATTATTTAAATCAATTCATTTCGCATTCAATAATTAGATTTTAAATAAAATATTAATATTTTTATATCATGAAGTGTTAGAAAAGTGAGCCTAAATGCCGAAGAGGCAAACATTTTAATTTTGGTGTTATTGAGAAGATTTCAGAGTATCTTTGGGATATGGCCGCTTAGAGGCCATCAGTGGCCAAATTGTACTTTTTCACGTTTAAAAATTGAAAAAAAAAACATAAATATCTATAAAAGATAGCATTTTAAAAAGTCGTTAATAATTAAATCTTTGTCTGTAAAGTTGATTTAAAGTAACACCTTTTCATACATATGTACATAACAATAGTATATTTGGTATCGAAAAAGAAAATTTTTAGATAGAAATGGTAGATTCGTACAAAAAAGTTATGATATTAAATAATAAAAAAAAAACTTGTAGAAAAATATACATAAAAACATAAACTTTGCTACATCATCTAAAGGCCTATACAATAAAAATAGGAAAACTAATGATGGCGTTATATAGACAAAAGTCTTATCTTTCCAGGCATATTCAATTCAAAAAAAAATCAAAAAGATCATTTCTAAATATTTACTTTATACCAAGTTTACTTAAAGGAGACCCCAATGTGCATTGCCGATTATGGCACTAACTTGTTTTTAATTAAAAACGCGGAAAAAGTTTAAAACCCCAAAAATCAATTATTGTCCTCGACTTTAAAATGGAAACTAAAATATATAAATAAATTATTGTCAAATTATTTTGCATTGAGAATTAATACTATTGTTAGCCAAAAATATTGTAATTTTTAACATATCTAACAGTTGAATATAGGGCCTGTTCGGGAATGCGTCTGATGTGCAATATGTTCGAAATGATTCACAGAAATATATAATGCGCCAAAAACTGCAAAACCAGCATCATTTACTAATTTTTAAACGAAAGTTAAGGTCGATGCTTATAATATGCCTCAGTCATCAAGTGGGGCAATGACAAAACCTATCTTACATTCCTTCAAATGAATAGTAAAAATTAAATTAAAAAGTGCATTTGTTCTATCTTGTATATATATAATTTTTTATTATAAATCATGATTACTAAATTCTTCTTGTTTTTATTAATTTTATAAATTTATATTTCAATTATTAATATTTAATTAATAATATACGTATGTATGTATTATATTATATTATAAATGATACAAAAAAGATCTTGTTTATATGCAATTTTGTTTTTGCATGAAATTGTATGATTTTTTTTATCTTATCGAAATATTATTAAGATGGATTTGATAATTTAGTGCGCCCTCTCGTTTCTTTTATAAAACTGGAAAGGCGTTTACTTTCTGTAGCCCAGATGAAATTTGTTCAACAATTTATTCATTGTATTTATATTGTTGTTGCTTTAACCTTATTTAAATCTATAAACTTTCTGTTTTAAGAAAAATATTTAATATTTTTACGTGTATTGTGTGTGGAGTTGTGAGAATTTTAAGTTGAAATGTAAATGTGTAATTGTTGTAATTAATGTCTTCTTATATTAATATATTTATAATAAACTATGTTTTTGAGTCATAATTATGATTTATTTTTTCTGCTTTCTTTGATTTTTGTTGTTGTTAAATTATGTAAATATATTATATATGCTTGTATGTATGTATATGTATATACTATATTGAATGTACTTTCTTCCTAATTAATATTTTAATTATAATTATATTGTATACTGGTTTCATGTTTTTCATTTCAATATTTAGAAACGTATAGAAAAGTTTAAAGGTAAATAATAAAATTAATAATAAAGAGGAATTTAAAATGGAAAATAAAACAATAAAAATACACATTAATAATAAAGTGTTGAGAGAAAAATAATTTCATTGCAGTTCCTGCCTTATGTTGCGTCCTCTCATATGCCTTCTGGCCGAGAGGAAGTCCTCCTCGTCCTACAAGACATAATTAAAGACGGAAGACTCCTGTTCATTGTTGATATTGCCACCGCCACCACGATTAGATGATCCCGAAGATTTGTTCGAACCGTGATGGTGACCAATCGTCATTTGGTTGGTTTGGTGAATGACAGATGTAATATCGCTTTGAGACGCCGAAATATCTTTGCTGGTAAGAACATCTGAACTGCTAGAGCCCGATGATAATCCATGACGCTCTGTCAAACCATACTGAATGGGCTGATAGCCGTGACTTGGATTGTATGTAGCTGAATATGGCATATATATTGGGGGATTTGGCAGGGGACCAATGTCGCTGGTTATACTCTCGGTGTCAGCGTGGCTTAAGTTAGAGCGGCATTGCAGAGGATTGCGATCGTCGTTAACCACATAGTAGCACTGCTCGGAGAAGGTCAATTTGTTGACTGTGTGTTTAATATAATTGTTTCGCAACATTGCCGAAACAATGCGACGAGCTTCGCGCCTGTCCTGAACATCTTCGACGTTCTCTAGGACCCAGTTGACTGCATCAGCTCCAATAAAAGCATTTGGTATTGTAATTTTTAACCACATGCGATCCCGAATTTCTAAGCCACTGTCCGGTTTAATCATTGCTTTAACAATCTCTTCAAGATTGTTCTGGTCAAGACGCTCTTTGATAGGCTCTGGTATGTCGGGATGTATAATACTGTCCTGTGAGGTAAGAGCCTGAGTATGGGCCACCCAGGCGCCGGGGTCAATTGGACGAACCGGCTCAGTACGTGGTATAGTAAAGTAACCCTTTGGATTTGGATCCCAGCATTTAGCAACCACCAGCTTAATGGGCCCAGGTTTCTGAACCACTTCTCTCAAAACTCGTACCGCTTCATCGTTTGTCATATTTTCAAAATTAACGTCATTTACCTGTAAAATCATATCACCGGGTTCAATGCGTCCGTCTAATGCCACTGCTCCACCTTTCATTATACTGCCTACGTAAATACCGCCGTCACCTCCGCGATTCGACTGGCCCACTATCGATATGCCCAAGAAATTAACCGCTTCCATATTTATGTTTACCGTAATTATGTTTAGAGACATAGTTGAATCGGTTATTGAGGAATAGCTTGAAGTTCGCGATATGCTTGGAGCTCGTTTTTTACGTCGCTGGGGCTTCTTGCGCACTTGCAATCTTTGGACACTGCTATAGTCTGTTAGGTCACGATCGAATGTCACTTCAGATTCTGTTCCAAATAAACTTGTAGAGTCCAAGTCACTCGACAATACTGACGCCGACTGATATGTGAGAGGTGGTGGAGGTTGCATCATAGGATTTGTAATAACACCACCACCTCCAATAAGTCCACCCATACCTCCAGCACCTAAAACACCTCCCCCCATTTTCTGAGGTGGTGGAGGTGGCTGAGCTGGTCTCACGGGCTGACGTATATCCCCACATTCGCTGTTTGGCATATCGGAACAATTATCCGACTGGTTAGTGCCATCAGCCGACACCAACCAGGACACAACTCTCCCGTTGAAGCATGGCAATATTGTGGCATCGTCCGCAATCTCCTCCTTAACGACACCAAAGTCGGCGTCCATCGACTTGAAGAAGTATTTATAGTTGTTGTTTTGTTTATTGAGCACCATTTTAAAGTCCCTCAAAGTGACCTGAGCTGATGGTATCGGAATCTTCACCAAATATGGGGTTGTTTCATCATCAATATGATAGATCACTTTTGTCTCTTGGCCACCTCCACCTCCTCCACTGTTTTTATCGGCATCCATCTTTAACTTGGATTCGTATGTATTTGTTTGTTTTTGTGTGTGCTTTTTTCAGCACTACTCGTTTGTTTTTTACTTGTAAAATCGATTCGTACGTTTATCTGGAATCCGATTTTAATTTTTTTTCTTAAAACACGACATTCAAAAGATGTTACAAAAACACTTTGCCGTGATAATTCAATGATTTTTCAATAAATTTTCGTTCTTTGCACAATTAATGTGTTTTGTTTTTGCTTTAGGGTTGGGTTTCAGTGGGGGCTCCTTCTAATAAATATATCTACTCAACAACTACTTTTGTTCGTTCACCAAAGGCGTTGTTGCTGCCTGCGCTAGATTTAAGACATATTTTTTGTTCTTATAACAGCATAATTTACACCTCAAATTAACAATTTTTAGTTTATACTTATGTTCGACAGCCTTCTTAAATATTTTCTATATAATTTTTTGGTAATTTTAAATGTTTACAATTAAATTTTCACTAATTAATCGCTGCAAAAATGCGCAGACAATGAAAAAGCAGCAAAACTATTTGACATTCCGAAAACTTACGTTCCACATCATTCAATGAGTGTGTGTATTTTGTGCCTATGTATGACTAAATTACTCCGAAGAGTACACACACAGTTGTTCTAACAGTGTTGGAATTTACCGGCAAGAAAATAGTACATAGTTATGAAAAGTGTTGAATACGTATTTCAAAATGGATGAAAAGAAAAGTTCCTTTCTATTATTACGATATGGAACTTTTTAGTTATATTTTTATATAAGAATATTTTTTCGAAAATTCTAGAAATAAAAAAGCATCTCCACGATGTGTTATTTAATTTTTTAATAAAATTTATATATAAGTATATTGTATATCAGGTACCTTAATGTTATATAAATAAGTATCTAAAAAATTATTTAAAAATAATTGCATTGATAATACTAATAAACATAATAATAAATAATAAATTGTGTAAGGAATTAGAATTTTATACATCATTATTGGAAAATTCTAACTAGTAAACCGTTAACGGTACTTAAATATTGTTTGATCCAATTTGCTTGAAGACTTTTTAGACGTCTGTTTTTCCTCTTTTGAGAATCTTACAAAACATCATGAAAATTTATAACTGATTTTTACGTCTTTTTTTGATGTTTAGTTATATAATCCTTTTTAATTACTTATTCGCAATAAAAATAAAATTAAAATTTTCACATAAAAGCAATTTATGGCCATTATTACAACTTGCCTTTAATGTTCGTAATAATAAAAGGTAACTTTAATTAAAGTGAGGAATAAAGTGATCCTTAAATATTTTCATTACTACAACATAATTTTTTATTATACAAAAACCGTAGCATACTTTTAGCCGTTAATAATATTTTTCATATGATAAATGACATTGAATTACTTTTTCAATCATATTTTACAAAAAAAATCATAAAGCTTATGTTAAAAGATAAAGGTAAGGTGGTCTTCCCGTTAGCCTATCGGACACTTTTAGCTAAAATTGACTTGTAATAACGAAAAACACATTATCTGTACGATAACTTCCTAACTTTAGTTATTGGCAACTTATAATAATGAGCCTTAGTGTGATTAAAAATAATAAATAGTATTTTTTACATGCATATAATATCAACAGTTTGAATAGGGTTTCAAAATTCACGACGTTTTTGGATTCCCGGGAATGGGGAAAAAAATATTCACATTCCCGGGAACCCGGGAATTCCCGAAAAAATAAATAATAATTAAAAAAGCGTTTACGCGATGTTTTATTGAATTTTTGTAACTTAGAAATGTGTATATATAAAATCAGGGTTGGCAATAGTTTTGAAGCTGTGAAAAGATAAGGGTAACGGTATTTGGATTATTTCGGTAACGTTATTTTAGCGGTAATGGTAGTGAGATAAAAGGGTATTTTAAATATAGAAAAATTATTTAAAAATAATATAAAATAACGGCAATTCGGTAGCGATATTTTAAAGATAACGGTAGTAGAGCTGAGGAAACGTAGCCAAGCTTTATAAAATACTTTATTATTTTCTTTTTAAGTACATACATATGCGTATGTCTGCATTGAAGTGTCCCGCGGGCAACTCTTTGAAGGAATACCTGTCCATTTTTGTTGTATAAAATGTGTTGCAATAAATGGTAACACATGGTTGCATTTTTACTAGTTTTTAATTCCCGGGATTCCCGACTAAAATTCCCGGGAATCACTACATTTCCGGGAATTTTTTCCCGACGCTTCCCGGGAACGAAACCCTAAGTATGAATGAGTGTATAGGGGAATCTCAAAAACAATCTTGAAAATCTTGAAATCTTGAAAGGGGGTTTTTTGGTATCTCTTTTGTTAAGGTAAACTCATATTTTAATAATCAATTGGTCGTTATTTCACCAAATTTGTATAAATTATTAAAGTTAAACATATTTAACACAACATTTAATTAACAAATATTAAAAAAGAAACATATTTATTATTGAACAAAATAATTAGAAATAACATTTAAGAATCATAAATATGGCAACACTAACAAAAAAATGTCGCACGCCTTTTGAATCTCCATCTAACGTTCATTATATACGGAGGGCATTTAAAAAGGAATTAAGAAAAAACCTTGCGGCATGTCCCCTCAGCTAAAAGTGATCTTACCCACAATACATCTTAGGCGCAAGTTACATGAAGACTTTTCAGACGTCAGTTTTTTCCAATAATTAAAAATAATGTTAATTCGGTAACGATATTTTAGAGATAACAGTAATATAGTTGAAGTAACGATAGTCAACCTTTATTAAAATAAAGTAAATAAAATACTTTATTATTTTCTTTTTAAATACACACATACATATCGTCATATGAAATCAAAAAAGCCCTAAGTTATAAAAAAAATCAAAATTGATCAAAATATATGTTCCAGCTAAATTTTACACTCCTACAATTAATGTCAACGTCCCTATCAAAGAAATTCTAAAAGGTTATGTTCTAAAATTACCTTAAAATTTATGAAAATTTTAAAATTCTTTTTAGTTTTTAACTTCGAAACTGTGAATTGTCATAAGTTGGCATCAAATAAAACAAAAATGGAACTTTTAGCGAATCCTTGTAATTTAGAGATTATTGAAACAGTTTTAGAATTTTTTCAAAGAAAAATTTCAATTTCCGAAAATCTCTATAAAAAACAATGAAGCTATTTGACCAACAAAAACCGTTTTGAATTTAGTTGAAAATGTTAAAACTTACTATTTTTGGGTTTCAGAAAAAAAACAAATTCTCAAGTGCGTAAGTTTCATATCTCCGTAAGTAAAACAAAAACCGCAAATTGTTCTTCAAATAATAATTTGTCAATAAGAAATAAGCTTAACTTGAGAAAATGTTGAACATTTTTGGTTTAGTTATCATTTTAGACGGTTTTTTGCTTCTCCTGAAAAGTGTTCAATATAACATAGGACGTTTTTGATTTCATATGACGATATGTACATATATATGTATGTCTGTACTGAAGTGTCCCGTGCGCAACTTTTTGTAGGAATAACTCTCGATTTCTGTTGTATAAAATGTATGTATTTTATGTAATACCCTATTTACAAAGCATCGAAAGTAGTAGTAGACTTTAATCGAAATCTTTCTTCAAATCTAGACCGTTTACACTTCTTATTTTTGACATTTAAGGAGGAGGTACACAACACGCGTTGTACGCTGCAACGCGTTTTACGCATTTGAAAGTTTTTGCACTTTACAAGCTGCAATAATAATAATAATAATAATAATAACAATAATAATAATAATAATAATAATAATAATAATAATAATAATAATAATAATAATAATAATAATAATAATAATAATAATAATAATAATAATAATAATAATAATAATAATAATAATAATAATAATAATAATAATAATAATAATAATAATAATAACAATAATAATAATAATTATAGTAATAATATATTAATATTAAAATATTATAATTAAAATATTGTATAATTATAGTTATAATAAACAAATATAAAATTAAAAGAAAATTATTTAATTAATATGTAGTACATAACGATTAAAATGACAAAATAATAAAATTAATTAATGTAAAAATGTGAGAATAAAAATAAATAAATAATGAGAATTCAAATAAAATAAGTAATGAAATCAAAGACAGGAAATAAAATTTAGGAGTAGGAAACATAACAAGATTATAAAACATTCGTAAAAATTAAGCTATAGGAAATACAATGGTTGATATAAATATTTATAATCAACAGTTGATAGAGTAGGAGTAGACAAGTATGACATCACCAGGATCACAGGAACGAAGTGGTTAAATTGAATAACAGGAACACATGGACGAAGATGATCAGGATCACAGGAACGAAATGGTTTATTGAGCAACAGGAACACATGGAAGAATATGATGTAACCGGTAATCAACAGCAACACATGAACATAGGGAATATTGTTTATAACTGCCGGTACACACTAGCAAACTTTTTTTGGGAAACTTTTGATTTTGCGTGAGAGAGAAAGAGAAAGAATATCATTCATCTCTCTCGCGGTACGGAGTTTCCCGTACTCGGAAATCAATGCAATTAACACGTAGTTTCTGAAACAAAAGTTTTCATGTGTGGACATTAAGGAAACTTCAAAAGAGAATTAAGAAAAAGTTTCTCAACAAAAGTTTCCTAGTGTGGACCAGGTCTTATTAATAGTTTCGGACATGATAAAAATATCAAGGTAGTGTCATTCTCTCTTTTTGCCGCCATAGTAACCTTCTGACGTTTGCTGGTATTTTAATAAATCGAGCTACCACATTTATTTTGAAAATCCGATTTATTTTTCAAACAAAAATAAAAATCAAACAAAATTTTAAATTCAATAAAAATACATTAAAAATTTTACTAAATCTGCCAAAAACAAAAAAATACATCAATAAATATAAGCTGTTAAGCCCATTATCAAATTGATGGACACTAGGCGCCTCCGAATGCATTGCCTGTTGCTTCCCATGTTCTTTAAGTTGCGGAATGGATTAACAGGAGGAACCAACTAAAAACGGTATACATACATATATAATAATAAATAGGAGTTTTTATCATCTTACATCAAGAATTTATCTTCCAACGTATATGTAGGTATATATGTAGGCAGAATGAACCAGAATTAGCTGTCCATTCGGTCCAAGAATACGTGGTTTTCTTCAAGTGCAAAATAACGCTGTCATGAAATCTTTTTTTTTTTTTAATCTGTGTGCCTCCGGTGGGTTAGTTGTTAGTATTCTAGTCTGTTAAACTAACAAAGGAAACCACAACAGGCCCGGTGAAAACCTTAGTGTATTTCTTCAGGTTTGATGAAACATACATCCTCCTTTCAAACTAACTATTATCGGTTATCGCTGGACTTAAAATATTTTAGAAATCATTAACATAAATTCCACATACACTACACAAATTTCTTTTAACCTAGTTTCCCATTTTTCATATACTATGGCAAGGATTTTTCTATTTGTTTACAAAATACAAATATCAAAAGTTCCAGTAAACTTCAAAAAATTTTTTGAGAGAGAGAAATGACACTACCTACATATTTTTATCGAGG